TAATGAAATAACATAATAAATAATTTCATTAAAGATATTTTAATAAATTTATAGGACGAATATCACTTTTAATATGTAGTTCTATTGTAATGAATCCCAAAGAATAAAAAGAAAGTAAAAACAATAAAGACAGTACCAAGAAGTGGGAACCAAAACTTAGAGAAAAAAAACCATATTTGGTAGAAAATTATTTGCTCCAAAAAGTAGCAACGTTAATGTTGGACCTTCTAAAAAGAAGGCCAAAATAACTCAAGAGTCTTTTACTCCTCTCCGTTCATCACTTCCCTACAATTGCTTGCAATTTTTCTCGTTTACATTTGCTTGACCACATTTGTCAAATAAATGTGGAAATTGACAAGCAGTAAATATGATGCATGTATATGCCAATATATAATATAACGTTCATCACTTTCCTGTAATTGCTTGCAAGTTTCCTCGTTTACATTTGCTTGACAAATATTGACAAGCAATAAATACGATGCGTGTATATGCCAATATATAATATAACGTTCATCACTTTCCTGTAATTGCTTGCAAGTTTCCTCATTTACATTTGCTTGACCACATTTGTCAAGTAAATGTGGAAATTGACAAGCAATAGTTATGATGAATGTATATGTCAATGTGTAATATAAGTGTGGAAGAATTTCAAAGTAGGGACCAATTTCTAGATTATTTAAGTCCATAAATAAGATTGTTATAGAAATTTCAAACTAGGAAAGTAGTATGAAAAGATCCACATTTAATGGATCAATAAGAATCTCTTTCTTAAATTCTCTATAATTACTTATAATTTGTCAATTAAATTTTTATAAAGAAAAATCCTTGCACCTGAGATCTAGCACTGAATGATAAACTCATCACGATCAATTCAACTACTTCCTCACTTCTACTTTCTAAATTAGTTTTGCTTTTAACTTTACATGATACGATATAAAATTAATAAACCATATTCATTTGAAAGCTCAACTTGCAAAGTTTAATTTTGTTATTTAATCTAGTAGGCCCAAGGATTGGGGCTTAAATAAAAGAATTATTGGGTTTTAAAACACCCGTAGATCTTTTAATTAGGTAAAGCCATAAAGATAAACCCTTTCTTTTTTAACTTCTTTAATTCGACTTTGTTAGGGGAAACAAAATTAAAAATAATGAAAGAAACACAAAAAAATGTTTTATAAGGTAGACTGTACATTAAATGTATAGTTTGACTTATAAATTTATTAAATTTTTTTTAATGAAATAATATAATAAATAATTTCATTAAAGATGTTTTAATAAATTTATAGGACGAATATCATTTTTAATATGTAGTTCTATTGTAATGAATCCCAAAGAATAAAAAGAAAGTAAGAACAATAAAGACAGTGCCAAGAAGCAGGAACAAAAAATTAGAGAAAGAAAACCATATTTGGTAGAAACTTATTTGCTCCAAAAAGTAGCAACGTTAACGTTGGACCTTCTAAAAAGAAGGCCAAAATAACTCAAGAGTCTTTTACTCCTCTCCGTTCATCACTTCCCTACAATTGCTTACAAGTTTCCTCATTTACATTTGCTTGACCACATTTGTCAAGTAAATGTGGAAATTGACAAGCAATAAATATGATGCATGTATATGCCAATATATAATATAACGTTCATTACTTCCCTACAATTACTTGCAAGTTTCCTCGTTTATATTTGCTTGACCACATTTGTCAAGTAAATGTGGAAATTGACAAGCAATAAATATGATGAATGTATATGCCAATATGTAATATAAGTGTGGAAGAATTTCCAAGTAGGGACCAATTTCTAGATAATTTAAGTTAATTAATGAGATTGTTATAGAAATTTCAAACTAGGAAAGTAGTATGAAAAGATCCACATTTAATGGATCAATAAGAATCTCTTTCTTAAATTCTCTATAATTA